ATTTGTGAAAAATTTCCTCTTTTGTTTAATCAGCTTTTCATGATATGTGTCATTAGTCTTTATTTCTATGAAGTTTAGTATTTTTTTATTACATTGTCAGCAAGCATAAAATATGATGTGTGTATTTTTGTGTCCATCCACTATACTGAAAATCTAAATCTTCAACATGATGTTTCATCTCTATTTCTTACACTTAGTTTACTATATAATATATAGTCAATTTATATGGTATATCACATATTAATCAACTGTTAGTTCTATGCTTCATATTTCAAAAAGTCTCATCAATTAAATAGTTAATCTTTTTACTGGCACTTTGAAAATCCTTTCCCTCAAGAGATCTGAGATGTTAATATTATTTTCATATTTAATGTACTTAAAACCTTTTGTTTAATAACTGCTCAGGTTTTGGGTACGTTCATGGCTGAATGGCCTTATATAACATGCTTAAGTCCTGGGAGTCTGAGACCAAAATCTAAAACTCCTTCTCTTACAAGAAAGTTTGAGTGAAGAATGAACATAGAGACATTGCCTCCAATTCTGGGAAAAAAAAAAAAAAATTATATGTGTAAATAGTGTCAATTAAATCTTTTGTCCTGGAATCATTCTAAAGTATCCATGTTTTTCTTTTATACATACTGTGTCCTTGGACATGTTTCTTAACTACTTTGACCTTAGTTCCTCATCTTTTACAGTGGGGGTGATACTACTCCTCACCTCAAAGTATTGCAAAAATTATTGGTTTCATATTCAATTGGGGCCTACTACCTACTGTCACCTCAAGAAAGTCAGAGAGACTGATATATTTCATGTTTCAGCTTCCCTTAGCAATTTTGAGAGGGTAACCACAAAACCTAAAACACTCAGGTCTCAGAGATTCTTTGTTCTCTTGGTTCTTTAAGCTCAAAAGCAAGATGGGAATAAATAGGAACCATGAGCTTCCTCTGTAAGCAGAAAAGAGAAGAGGCTCTCTCCCTTTTCCCAGCTGGTTAAAAATGTGATTCCATTGGTAACAATGATTTGGGCTGAGGGATTTCAGTGCTAGTACAGAAAAATTGACATTAGGATTGGTCAAAGGAGAAAAAGGATGCTAATTATGTGTTTGGAATTTGTCTGGACATTAACTACTGGTGATAAACTTAGTCTGTAATCCACTTAATATTGTTTTCTTCTCACTTAATCTATGTTATATGTGTAAAGAATTAACAATATCTTTTATCACAGTACACACTGTTTTACCTCAGTATCGTGGATGACTGGTCCTGTGGCTAGCACAAATATATAACACACACAATGAGATGAATAAACAAGTGAATGAGCATCATCTTATCGATATTACTAATAATAACTGTCAAGATTATATTTTGGCCAGATTATATCATTGTAAAAATAGCATAAATGGTAAGATAGCCAGAAAAAAAAGAGTTTTGTGCATGCAGTGTAATATCTGTACAACGAATTCTCAAGACAAAGTTGTTGAGCTATTAAAAGAGGGATTTCTTCGTTGCTTAAACTGTTGAGCTATAACTTAAGGGAAATGCATAGAATATTGACAAATCTAAGAGATATGTCTTCCCAGGGAATTCTGTGATCTTGAGGTGCTATACATGAAATAAGCATGTCTTTCCTTAAAAAATTAGATGAATTAATATTAAAAAGAATTTTAAAAATTATATAACCTTGAAGAACAAAAATACCTTCAATTCTGCATAAAAGGAATGTTGAAAGGCAATCATGTGTAGTGTGAGATCACGGAAGAAGTTATAGAGGTCTAGAGAGCAAGAGGTTTTAGTTGCATTTCTGCAAGTTTTTCATCAATGATGGAAAATGAACATAAACAACTTGAAAATTGGGCAGTTTGGCCAACATACCTGATTCTTGTATATGTTTTCAGGTTTTTAATATGTCAAAAATAGTTGGACAAAACAAAGAATTTAATTTGGCTAAAGAAATAGAACTTAGGTGTTTTAAATATTCTTATGCACTCAGTAATTTTGACTCACAAAAATCCATCATTTAAAAATTGGCCACTCTTCAATTTTATGAGTTTAAGAATAGCATGTCAAATAACATGTTATTTCATAAATGCTTGCTACACATTCTGGCTACTTCTGAATATTATAATCCCAAAGAAGATTTAAAGAAAGGAAGATTAAAAATGTGTCATTGCAAATCTATTCATAATCTTGCTCAATCAGCTGTATTGCTACTACTATCACTATGAAGTTTACAAGTCTACTGAATTGCTGGAGTGCAACACGGTTGCTCTGTTATTTTGGCTTCTTAATGCTTGCCCTGATTATGTGGCAGTCAGCTAATTATATGACTAAATATCTGACTCAACCACAGAATAGTTAATTTACTGGCAACATGTAGATATGATGTTAATCTTTCCTTCCAATGAAAAATTAGACAGTCACTGCAAGGAAAATGAACAACCGGACTCCTGGAGTCAGCACAGGTTATATTTTACAATGTGTCCTTCCGTCATGCTATTTTCAGTACCACTATCTCTGTCTCTCACAAAGCCTGGTTGGACTATGTTTAGCTCATAAAAACTTTACAATAAAGCTCATGTGGATTAATTACTCTTTGATCTCCTGGTTTCTTTTAGTTAGACTCACAGCCATTTAGCATTCTCTGATTGTATCAAATATGTTAGTTTGTCTCTGGGTCATCCTTATTCTCCAGAAATATTCTTATTCTGTTAATTTCCTTTTGCTTCCAAGGTGGAAAATCTTTTATTACCCAACTTTATTGATGAAAATCTCTTTAGCTCTTAATGACACATGGCCAGGCAATAATGTTTTAGAAACATGTTGAGTCAATCCTAAAAGAGTGAGTGTTAGTAAACATTGAGGTGGGGGAGCTTTTAAACATGTTATAAGAAAAAGTAATGAAAGTATAAAGTAATAAATCAATTTTTTTTTCCTGAAAACGTTCAGGAATGTTATTTTCATTCTCTTTAACTGGATTGGCTTGGATTATTTTTATAAGTATGGAGAAGATGAAGTGTAGATATTGTCTTTCTACAGTGGAAATCCTCTGAAAAGAATTGCTGAGGAATTGTTATAGCAGAACGATACATCTGAAGCCAGCCCCACTGACAAGGGCATGTTAACCGCAACGTTAACAAGTGTTGTCTATTTTTTTTACCTGAGGAAGGAGAAGAGTCTGTAATAAAGATGTCCAGAATATATGTTCCTACAGTATCCAAATTCATCTGATAATCAGCTTGGTTAAAATTTTAGACTGTTTTTTAAAGCTGGTATGGAGTGCATTTTAGAACTTTGAAAATTATCATGTCTTCAATCTTCCGTGAGTTCCACTGCTAAGACGTTCATTCTGGCTTCTGTTCATATGTAGCTGTTCTTTTCCAGGGCAATCCCATTCATAAATATTTTAACTGTGATGGGAATGAATAATATCTAATCTCAAATAATGCGTGGATCATGGATAGAGACAAAAAATGCTCTCATATAATATAGTGGGTGTCATTAAATACATATAACTTGAAAAGAGTATTTATTTCTAAATAATATGATGTCCTAATTTTTATTTGTTTTCTCTTAGTAGCTCATCATAGACAATGCTTAATTGTGTGAGATGAAAGATATTTGTTGTGGTAGTTAAATGTTTTCAAAGATCTACGAAGTAATAGGATATATTAATTAAAAGAGATAAGGAAGGATATATAAGCCAATATTTTTAATAGCAGAGCACACACTTTACTTTTTAATTAAATTTAACTCGTATAAGAACTTAATTAATGTGGCAAAATGCACAAGGAAGAGAAATGTGAGAAACTTATAATGCAGTCAAACCTGCAAAATGCAGAAAAAGGAAATTGCTTTATTTTCCCTCCCCCTGAAAGACTGATATAAGGAAAGGAAAAGCAAAGAAGAAATTTTCTCTGTGTGCATGTGTGTGTGTTTTCATGACAGTATAGATTGAATAGATTGAAATAATTTTTTTTCCAAATTAGCAAACTCTTGTTTGTTAAAAATCTATTTTTTTCACTAATCAACTAATTAAAATTTGCCTTTTTTTGGCAAGTTAAAATATTTTCAAATATAAGATTATTTTTTAATTCAAAGATTAATGTGACAGATTCAAAAAAGTATCACAAATTGGTCAAAGACGAAATTCAAGATGCTCTCCAAAGCGTTCTTGTAATACAAGCATGAAATCAGATTACAAGAATAAAATCAAGCCTGGGCACTTTGAGAGGTCCTGAAGCTTCAGTGGTGAGAACAGGACAACCAGCCTGTCCCTCCTCCAGAGAGGGCATGTGGCCTGCTAGCAGGAAAAACAAGCATTTTGAGGATGTCCTCAAAAGGAACGGAAAGATATTTGACCCTACAGTAAGGGCTCTTCTGCATTATTTAATATTTCAAAAAGAATATGAAGTGTGATAACTCCATTTTTTCTTACTTTTATTTCCCATTTAGGCCTCTAGAAGGTAATTACAAATATGGTTGTGGAAAATACTATAAGGAATTATAGTTTTCCCTTAACTTCAGGAGACAGAATAGCCGCTGTCATATGTTTATAAAGTTGTTGAAATGACTTAAGCTTAACAAGTGGTGTGGACTGGAATATCAAGTCTCATGTGTTTTACTTACTTATAGAAAGAACAGCATGTGGTTTAGATTTCCTACGTCATGACAACAGCCAAATTTACCATCATAAATTCACGTTAGGAATTCATATCATATGGTTTTATGAAGATAACAGAAAAGAGTATTTTTAGACAATAGGTTAAATTAACATAAATGACAATTTGATCTCTATACCAGAAGAGTACATCTTTATTGAAGACAATATTCCTGAATGTGTGGTGACTTACTAAAAATGTAATTCTGCCAGATTATCTTATCTTTTTTTTTTCCCCACCTGGTTAAAAAAAATACTTGTTCTCCATTCTCTTCATGCACACCTTTTAGGAGTGAATGTTTCATATTTATTTTTCATTTGTCCATTAATTTTTTCCTCTTCAGGTGTAATCTAGCCCCTGTGGTGGAGTTTGCTGCAGATGTGGGAACTAAATCAGATTTTATTACCATGAATCCATCAGTTGTACAAAGAGCATTTGGAGGCTTTCGGAATGAGAGTGACAGAGAAAAATTTGTGCATAGACTTTCCATGCTGAATGACAGTGTCCTTTGGATTCCTGCTTTCATGGTCAAAGGAGGAGAGAAGCACGTGGAGTGGGTTAATGCATTAATCCTTAAGAATAAACTGAAAGTGCGAACAGCGTATCCATCATTGAGACTTATTCATGCTGTCAGAGGGTAAGTGTCTGGAAAGGACCAGTCTGTCCTTGGCACAATGGAACACATAACTAAACATTTCCCCTAGACAGGAAGGAGCCTCCATAAAATCTCCCAATGGATATATGTTTCCATTATTTTATAGTGGCTATTCACCAACTTGAATTTTGTTTATGTGCTATATAGTATTTTACCTCATTCTCTTTCTTGAAAAAGCAAATATTTGAGCTTGGCACTTATTTATGTCCGTCATGAACAAATTGCTGTTTTTTAGATTTTCTGTGTTAAATAATAAGAATCAGAGTAAAACTGATGAATTTGGGGTAAGAAAACTACCAACAGAAGTGCTAAATGGCTAGTGGGTAATATTGTGGAAGCATAAATGTTAAATGTATTTTAGGAGCAATTAAGACCCATGTGTAGTTAACAGGCCTACTAGTGGTAGAGAAGGCTGGCTGAGATACTATTCCTTAATGCTTCCCCACAAAAGTTACAGATGCCATTTTTATGAATTAAGTCAACATTTTCCTTTTATTAACTCAAGCTCAGAAGAAAAGCCTAATAAATAGATTCTTGTTTAAAAGTACCAAATGATCAAAAAGGCCAAATTCAGTCATATATATGTGTGCAAAATACGTGACACAAAGATAAGCAATAATGTGTATTTATTGAATATCTACTAAGTGTCAGATGCTATGGATACAAAAATGAGGAAGAACTGATCACTGCTGAAAAGGAATGCATAGGGTTTATGGTGGTAACAGAGGGAAGTACAAGCAGATAGGGCATAAACAAATGATAAGGGAGTATGCTGTCGAGGAAAGGAGGGAGAGAGGGGTAAGAGAGAGGGAAAGGGAAGGAAACAGAAGGAAATGTTATTCTATCATTCGAGCAAACTGAGGCAGGAAATGATTAAGTACACAGTAAACCTGTAGAATTATGGAGTCCATGTGGAGCATTGTAATATAAAATTGGAAAAATTACTTGTGATCTGGTTGGGAAGAGAATTCATTTTTTCCTGCATTAAGCACAGTTAGCTGTGTGAATTTAGGAGAGTAAATTGTGTAACTGCAGACTCTGCATTGGCAAGGTGAGGGCTAGTGGAATGAAAACCAATTAGGCTTTTGACCAATTTATTCATAACATGATAAGGATGTAGGGCAGAATCAGTGGACATGGAAAGGAAGGGCAGGTTCAAGGGACCAATTAAATACAGTGTCTAAAACTCCTAAAAGAAAAAGGTTTCCAAGCCCAGAGTTAAAAATAGTTTGCTTCGTATGCTGTAATTAAGACTGGGCTAAAGTGTTTTCATTTTGTTTTGTTATTGAAATACTTTCAAGGATTTCCCGTTTCCTTGTTTAAGTCTCCTGACAGTTTCTTGGATTGTGTTATTCTGCACAAAATTAAATCGCATTCTTATAATTACATCACGATTATTCAACGTTCATTCTATTGATGTTTGGCACAAAGTTTCAACAAAGTAGGATAAAATACGTGCTTTGGAGAATAAGTATTTTTTTTAAGTTACAAAGATTCCTGGTAATTTCAATTTGACTGGAAAAAATAATGTGTTCTTAACAGAGAGTAACTATACAATGTTATAATTGTGCTAAGAACATTTCCTATTTTTTGAGATATTAATGTTGAGTATCAGTTGATTCATAGAAAAACAAAGACACCACTCTTGTCACATGCTGTGACACACACAGACATGTACATGGTACACTCCAGTGATAGCTTATTAAGATTCAAAATTGTACTAAGATTCAATTTGTTACAACTGATGAATCTACACTGATACATTATCACCCAAAGTCCATAGTTTAAATTATAGTTCATTCTTTGTTTGTACATTCTATGGGCTTTGACACATATGACATGTATCCACCATTCTAGTACCATACAGAATAGTTTAACTGCCCTAAAAATCCTCTGTGCTTAACCTATTCATTCTTTCCTCCCCATTAACTAACTCATGACAAGCACTGATATATTTACTGTCCCCATAGTTTTGCCTCCTCTGGAATGTCATATAGTTGGAATCATACAACATTTAGCTTTTCATGTTGGCTTTGTTTACTTAATAATATGCTTTAAAAATTCCTCCATGTCTTTTTATAGCTTGGTAACTCATTTTCAGTGCTGAATAATAGTCCGTCATCTGGATGTACCAGTTTATTTATTCATTCACCTATTGATTCCAAGGTTTGGGAATTATGAATGAAGCTGCTATTAAATCTGTGTGCAGGTTTTGGGTAGACCTAGTTTTCATCTCATTTGGGTAAAAGCTAAGGAGTACAATTGCTGGAACTTATAATAAGAGTTTGTATACTTTTGTAAGAAATTTCTAAGCTGTCCTCCAAAGCGGCTGTACCGTTGTACATTCCCACCAGTGATGAATGTAAATTCCTCTATTTCCACATCTTCACCAGTGTTTCGTGTTTTCAGTGTTCTGGATTTTGGCCATTCTGATAGGTATGTAGTGATGTTTTATATTTATTTTAATTTGCATTTCTCTGATGACATATGATGTGGAGCGTCTTTTAATGTACTTATTTGCCATCTGTATCTTTCCTTAGCGAAGTGTTTTTTAACATGTTTGGCCCATTTTTTAGTCAGGTCATTAGTTTTTGTTGAGTTTTAAGAGTTCTTATATGTTTTGGATAACTGTTCTTTATCAGATGTATATTTGCAAATATGTTTTCCAAGTCTGTGGCTCGTCTTCTCATTTTCTTGGTTTTGTATTTTGCAGAGCATAAGTTTTTATTTTTAATGAAGTCCAGATTGTCAATTATTTCTTTTATGGATCACGCCTTTAGTGTTATATCTAAAATGCCATCACCAAACCCAAAGTTATATAGATTTTTTTCTGTGTTTTCTTCTAAGAGTTTTATAGTTTTGCATTTTGCATTAACAACTCGGGTCTATTTCGAGGTATTTTTTTTTTTTTGTGAAGGGTATAAGATCTATGTATAGATTCATTTTTTTGGATGTGGATATCCGGTAGTTTCAGCACCATTTTTTGAACTATCTTTTCTCCAATGTATTATGTTTACTTCTTTCTAAAATATTAGTTCACTATATTTATGTGAGTCTATTTCTGGGCTCCTTACACATTCTGTTGATCTATTTGTCTATTCTTCACCAACACCATACAACCCCGATTACTGTAGCTTTATGGTAATTCTTGAACTCAGGGAGTGTCAGTCTGCTGACTTTGTTCTTCATCAGTATTATCTTGACTATTCTGGGTCTTTTTCCTTTTTATATAATCTTTGAAATTAGTACTTTTGTTCTCTACTTTTGATTCTCGTTTATATATCTCTATTCACTACCAATAGCAAGACACAAAATAAGAGGCATGGTTCAAACAGGGCATTTTAAGATCATTAGAATCCAGAAGGAACTACATATATTAAATATAGAAAGTACACAGCCTTTAAATTAGTTCATCAGTACTCTCCTTTTATGTTTTATCTTATCCACTTTTCTTCAATAATCATTAAATATAAACTACTTCACTAATTCCTAAGAGCAACAAGACAAAACTTCCGACCACCAGTGATGTTAATGGTATGCTTTCTTTTGATTACTATGCTTTAGATGTTTTTCACAAGACTTATTTTGAGTTCTCCAGAAAGAATTTACCTTGCTACTTTCTCGTTCATGTGTCCATATCTTCCCCCTGAAATGTCAAGTGATTAAGTTCTAAACTGTGGCCCAGGATATAAAAAGTAGCTGTAGAGATGCCTTTCCACTTTTGAAATACTTTGGAAATTTGTACACACAGTATATGTGAAAGGTAATTTTTTCTGCGGAATTAATGAAATTAATACATTAATGCATGCAGTATAGTGTTTGTACCTTACACAGCTACTAAAACTCTGAAAGAAAATAAAGAGATGTGAATGCTGATTAAACAAGATTCTCATGATACTAAAACAAGAGCAAAGTTCCCAAAAATCTTGAAGTACTTATTTTACATCTCTTTGAAACCCTGTGGTTAATACACAATTCAGGGAAATACTTTAGAGAGTTTTATATCCTCTATTGATTACTGGAGTTTGTTGTCTCTTATGAAAGGTTTAGAGCACCCAGTACATGCATTTTAGGTGCACATAATCACTATGTTAAGATGTGAAGGCCTTTCCAAGTACTGCAATTACAAGCAGAAAGTATAAGTGACATGGAAAGCAAAAGGTTCTTGAACACAATGAGAATCATTTAGGTAGTTTTCATATTGTCAAATTACATTATGTAAACTTCTCTGAAAATTATGATGGCTTACTAACTTTAAACGTCCATTCCTTTGTAGGGTTTTTTTTTTTTTTTTTTTTTAAGGCTCAGAAAATATAATTATAAATCACAAAACTCGAAGAGATTCTTAGATTGTTTTAATGTATGGTCATTCTTCCCAAGCCATGTTAAGTGAAACAGTAGGGGAAAAAATATAGCTGGATTCCAATTTTAAAACAATCTTACAAAATAATAAAAGGGTTATCTAATAGGGACAAGTAAAAGCTATAATTACACATTTAGGAGAATACATAAATGTATTAAACTGGTTTGGGATTGCAAGCTTTTCATTGGTATTCTTCAGAAGCCACACCAGTCTATATATTTTTATTGCTATTTGGTAATTTTTCTTTTGAGAACTGGAACAATTTTCATAAGACTTTAAGACCAAAGAGGGGATTTTTGTAACTATAAAATGATTTGTTGAAATTTGTAAAATGTGACTAGATATAAAAATCAAGGTTTTTTCTTTATACATTTATAATAAAATTATCAATGTACAAGCTAAAAACTTCCAAAAAAATTAACCCAATGATATAATTTAATATACAATTTTAAAATAATATTTAGGACATATAAAATACATTTTTATAAAATAGTTTTAGGCAAAAAACATCTTATTTCTATAATTACTATAATATGAATCATTAACAGCTAAGTCCTAATTTTTTGAGTGAGATGGTTATACTTTTCTTATTTTTCTATACGTTGAAAAAAAAAATGAA